ATATAAAGTCACACAATAAATGAGGCCAGCTGACCGCTTATAACGCCGTACATATGTATGTATGGACGTCGGTTTGATGCCTGATCAATGCGGTGAACGACGATTTCTCAAATTAAGTTTTCTTCAGCGACGATACACATTTGTCACTGGGGGGATAAATAAATAATTATTAATTGTCGCACTTGGAGCTCCGAAAATCCTAAAATATAATAATTGAAGAGAAGGCATCACACTCACAAAAACCTTTTTGTCTGGTAAGCTCTTCGGTCCTGAGATGTAATTGGACCTTCATACTTCTTTGAAAACAGCAGCTGCATGATTATCACAATGAATATATGATAACCGACTTTTTTGGTCTACAATTGAAAACCACTACCTGGTTAATATGGGGTTTCATGAAGATGGTGCAACATGTCATCAGGAATTCCCGGCCACGTAATATCTTGTTTGGGCAATGTCAATTGGCCACCAAGGTCATGAGGTCATGAGGTCATGGGCTCATTGGACTTTATTTGTGTGGCTACGTGAGTATACCTCTAGTTACGGCTGAGATACCATACCATAAGGGGGAAGAGTTAGTCGAAAATCAGCTCAAACGAATCGAAGTTTGAAAAAATTCGCGAGATGGTCATTTGAATGATGTAGTACTTCGCATATTAGGCCAAGGAAAAGAACTTTATTATGCATTTTATTTACGTTTATTTTTGAAAACACAAAATGAATAACCCTGTATATATAAAAGGCCACTTACGGCAGGACTGACAGATCGACACACAGCCTAAACCACTGATCATAGAGACCTGAAACTAAGACCCTCCGACGACGTAGTCACCTTAAAATAATATATTTTCCGCGTAGTTTACCTGAGGCTGAACTACACTGAGAATTCGAATTATTTTTTTTGCTTTTCACATTAAAATTGGTTTCGAGTCAGAGACCGATAGTGTAAGGTGCAGGCTATATGATGGGTCCAATAAAGCTTCACTGGTCATCGAAGACACAACAATTTTCATATTGATGAACTCTGGACGCTTTTTTCGAAAAGCTCGTTGCACGCAGTAGTTAACTGGCATTAGAGCTCATAATTGATTTTTGGGCCAGGGTCTGGATGCTCATTATGACCAATCTCACCTTATAATCAGCATCACCCTGCTTGCCGTCAATTCAGGCTTTGAAGTCTCTGAAAATTATTACTTTTTCACTTCTTTATGGTCCGCGATAAACCGAATTTTTTTAAGTGCCTATTTCATGGAGCGCCCAAAAATGATTCTAAACTGTCACATGAGTGATGGCTAATGCCTCCACTATCTCAGAACAGCTTGTGTACCGCTTTTACTCTACCACTTGCAGAATTTCATCGGCTTTTTGAGTGTCCGACCGACCAGAGCCAGGTGCAATTTTGACATCGAAATTTCCGGACCGGAAAAACCTATCTTCGATCCGTCGTTCACATACAACATTCTCACCGCAAATCATCCACAATTTTCGGCACCGGCACGATTGCCGGTTGAGCATCTCCACCGATTTGTGGTATGTATCTTGACATTTTTCGAACAAATGAATGAACCTACATTTTATTCTAAGGCCGCCTTTGATTGCCTCATGGATTTTTATGAGGAGCTGTGAAAAATACTTGAAGGGCTGAGCATTCCGAGAACGATTGCAATTAGAATTGGTCTCCGAATTAGTTAATTGTTCTTGACAAGTAGTCCCGAAACGATGCTTAACTAGTCCAAGCAAACGTTCAACAGTTGATATAAGTATAACTATTAGAAGATATCGACTTAATTTCCAAAAACATTTTTGAAATAATTCATAATTAAACCCGAACAATATATGCAACTTGACTATTGTAGTACTGAACTGGTCCAAAACCTAATATGTTGCAATGCTGGGTTATACTTTGTATATTTGTATGCCTAAATATATTAAATGTGTGCTTGTGAGTAGATAATTTTATAGCGGAATATACATAAATTCCACAATGCTCATCCTTCGTCGCAAGTCATTTTAGAAAAACGCTCATATCGTAAATCGGTGCCAAGTGTTTGATGGGCTTAGAACCGGATTAAATACATTTAAAATATTACACAACAATTTGTCGTCGCATACACAAATGAGATGAGATGATCAGCGAAATCAGTTTTGTTAATCAAAATAAGCGATACAGATGTGCTTTTGAAGAACTTTTGAGGAAAGTAGTATATTTTAGAGTGCAGATGTTTGTGCGCTAAAATAATTTATAAAAAAAAAAATTATAATATATTTCCAAATATTTAAATACACATATATGTATGTACATTTCAAAATAATATTTTTAATCGAGAAGAATTTTTACTCGGAGACTACGTGGTTCACTTAATATAGACTGCGCAGAACAAATTCCAGTCTTCGGGCATGCTTTCGTTCGATCACATTCAGCAGCTGTCAGCTTTTCGCCAGATTTGAATAACCAGCATAACAGCTCTAGCCGCTTTGTTATCCTTTAAGCGACCAATCGCTATTCGAATTTCGTCATAGTCGGGTAACGGACTGTCTTTTCCATCATCATCGGTTGATTACTGTCATCCTTTCATGGAATTTATGAGTGTGTCCGCGTTTTTAGTCTTTAAATTATTTTTGCTTTCTTTCGAACTCCCAGTCTATCCTACTACGCAAGAATTGGAGTGATCGCGGTGAATCGAGATGGCTCTAGCAGGTACAGCGTTAATATAAGACGAGAGGGATAAGTTTAAAAACTGCGCTGTGGTGTTGATTATAACCAAATGTTCATCCAGGACCAATCGGGGAAGTCTTTCACCCGGCACAGAGCTTAGACTAAATTTACGTTTGTTTCTGTGGCCGCTGTACCAGATTATCAAATGGCCGGTGGGTACCGGCACCGAGGCTTTTGCTGGAGTTGTCATCATGCTCGTATTTTCATTTTAGCAGACTATTTTAAGTGTTGGGCCTGATGTTTGCCTCATCTATTTCGCTCTCTTCTTGATGAATGTTTATTGACTATAACCGTAATTTAGGTATAAGATCAGAAATGGTGAACTATCAAAAACTTTGCTTTCAACAAAAACAAAAATTATTTATTTATTGCTTCTGTATTTAAATCTGCTACACATGGTCACCGTGAGATTTGAAATCCACAAATATTCAGGTAAGGATACTTGCTTGTTTAGCGGAGTCACACACCACCAACGCCTGAAATTTGGCTACAAGTCTAAAAATTTACAGTAGTGGCGTTCGAAATTGACTGGAAGAACATTAGAAATTATTCATAGCCACACCACAGTTGCGCGCCGGTAAACCACCGGCATGTCAAACCGACAGCCCAAAAAGTTTGCACAAGCTGTAATATTCATTGTGAGAAGAGCATGGTAGAAGATTAAAGTAATTTAAATTAGATCGGATATAGAATAAAATGAAACTATAATTTAAATTAAAATAAATCAAATTATTGATATAAAATAGAAAGATTCAAGCAAAATAAAAGAAAATCACATGAAATAAAATAAATAAAAAAAAAAAATTGATTTAAATTAAAGCAAAGGAAAGTAATATAAAATTTAATATAAAAAGGAAATAAGTAAATTAAAACAAACTAAAATAGAAAAACAAAAATATTATTTATCAAGATATAACAAACTAAAAAAATATGATATAAAATAAAATAAATTAAATAGCCAAATATCAAATATGGTAAATGAAATAAAAAAGAGTAAAATAACATAAAATAAAATAAAAATAAATCAAATAAAAAAATAAAAATTAAATAAAACGTAAAAAAGCATTGAAATAAGCAATAAAATACGACAATATAACTCAAAATGAAATAAATGAAATAATATTAAAACAAATAAAATACATAGAGAATTATATATATATATATATATATAAATATATAAGTAAAATAAAAATATAATTAAATTAAATAATATACAAAAAAGCATAACAGTATGAAAAAAATAAATTTCCAAAAATTTATTAAAATAGAAAATATAAAAAAATTAAAAGAATAAGACAAGATAGTAACCAATTATAATAAAATTAAAAATTAATTAAATATCATAAAATAAAAAATAATAAAAATGTTTTATAAAATAAAATAAAATAACAATTAATAAAAATAAAATCAAAATTAATTAAATTAATATAAAGCAGTGTATAATAAATAAAATCTAATATTACATACAAAATTCTCATACATACTCCTCGGTAACGGCTTGCGTAAAAGCCGAGCGTTTCCATAGCGTGCGCTATGACAATTGTTCGTAGGGGCTGCTTGAACTTTTCTTATCTGAAACCGCTTAGTTTAATTTGAGTAATTTTATGAGAATTGCCCATGTTCGCGAGTTGACAAACCATCTTTGTTGTTTGTTACTGCTTGCTGATCGAGTTCATTTAATTAATTCACATTCAGATTTGAACTATCTAATGTACAATAATATAATGGCATGTAATTAAAGCAAGACTAAGTTCGTTGGATCTGCTAGTATATAAATAAAATTATATAATTACAAAACAAAAACATTAAAACAAAACATTAAAATAAAAATTAAATTAAATAAATCACAATAAAATAAATGAAATAAAGTAACATAAAATAAAATCAAATATAATAGAAGACTAAAAATAAAGTTAAATAAATAAAGCTTAAATAATTAATAAATATAAAATTAAATACAATAAAATAAAATAAAACAAGATACATACATACAATAATAATAAAATTAAATATATTTAAATGAAATTAAATAAAACGAAAAATACAAAATTTAAAAGAATAAGAAAATATAGTAACTAAATAAATAAAATTAAGAAAAATTTTATATGATTAAATAAAAAATAAGGAAAATAAAATGTAAAAAAATAAAAAGAAATAAAATAAAAGTAAGCTTCATTAAATCAATACAAAGCATTGGAAAATAAAATTATATAAAGTTATTTTAAAAATACTATTTTTTGAACTCACTTCTTGCTTTGATGTTATGATCTTTTCCGATTTCTTTGAAAACAAAATTTTTTGTTGTTGTATATATCTTTCATTTTTATAATTTATTTCTTAAAGAGCAACAAAGACACGACATTTGAGTAAACACAGTTTAATGACATGTACATGTTTCATATTTCTCCAGACCTACACATCATCCATTACATGTAGTCTACTTATACATTATTGTACATATAAATGCTAAATTGTGCTCCATTTGCTTCCTTCAACCGTCATATCTATGTAAATATATATATGCTTACTCACATTGTACATAATACATACAAACATCGAGTTGATATTTTGGGCAATTAAATATTAGGATTAGTAATTTACAAATATTTGCTGAATATATAATTGCAATTAAATTAATTTTGTCACTTTCTCACCGCACTTCCTCTTTATGCAACTCTTTCGCTCAATCTGTTGACAATCTGGTTTCATACACAGTTCACGGGTTAAGGCTTAAATTTAAACAATTTGACTAGTTGGATCCATTTCCACATTACACATTATTGTTATCTTTAGTTTATATTGAATTTTTCTTGCTTCTATTTTATTTTTTACTCCCTCATTTCACTTCTATACAACACAAGCAAATTTTGTTTGATTTCGCTTCGCTTTAAATCAATTTTTGTTACTGATTTAACTTCTTCTCACATTCGCTTGCTTAATTTAACTTTCACTTGATTATTATCTTTTTCAAATGTGTTGTTACATTTACTTTTAGTAGAATAAATGTACAATTTATATTTGAATATTTGTAACTCTAAGCATTAGTACTTAGTTAGTTAGATTCCATTTAAGAAAATTAATGAAATATTTTCGGTAAAAAATTAATTTTTGTGATGCTTCAGTTTTGAGTATTATCATTTGTTAGGCAGCTAACATACATACATTTCCATATAGTCCGCTTATAATATTTTACATTTTTTTTCATTTTTTAAATACACACTATATACGAGTTGAATTAATATCTATGGCTTTTAAATACTTTTATTAACTATTTACAATTATTTTACTTTAATTCATCCTTTTATTTAAAGACTACGAAAAAATATTGCATACTGTCAATTTGGAAAAATATAAACATCTTCCTTAATATTAAATCTTGGTATATACAAATAATATATGTTTTTGATCTTTTTATACGCTAAGGATAATTAATCAAAGATTTTCAATTGTTTTTCTTTTTCTCTTTTTAATACATAGAAAAACTCTCCCAACCGTTTTGAGCGCTTTCCGACCACTTCATTTGAAGTGTGCTGAATTGTCTTCTTATTACTCGAAGCCTGTGTGTATACAAATGCAAATGTATTTGGTATTCCTTATCTAATCAAGCACTTCTTTCATATTTCATTTCTATAAAAGTTTATTTCCATGTTATTTTATATCTAGCCATTTTTCCAGATTTCCTTTTTGAACTTCATACATTTTTGTGCATGAATATTTTGAATATTTTTACCAAAATATTATATATATTTTTTAATTATACTTTTGTGTTGTTGTTTCTGTTTTGTGTTTCGCTACACTTAAAAATTGTAAAAAGTGCACACGTAAATGCCATTTGGAGATTTGCGACATTCAAAACGGTAAAAGTGTATTTTTAAAATCAGTTGCTTTGTGATGTCTAGTGGTTTTTCGGTTATGTTCGGATTTCGGTTTTTTTGTTTATTGTTTTTCAATTCTCATATATTGTTTATTCGATATGTAAAATTTAATTAGACCTTACTTTCAGGTCCTTCAGCAACATGTTTGAATGCCAAGCGTATTTTGGATAAATATAGCGAACAAATCTGACCATAACTCTTGTTATACCATTCGGGAGTGCGACCCCTGGAAGAAGAAAGCAAAATGAATTAATAAAAATTATACAGACAACCAGCTTTTCTTAATAAAAAAATATCTATTTTTATTTAAATTAAATCTATTGTATTTTGTTTGGTTATATTTTATATTTTTATATTTAATTTACTTCATTTCATTCATGGTTCATTTCACGTAAGTTTTTTCTTTATTTTGTTTTCGTTTTTATTTTTTATCTATTAATTAATGGATTTTAAATTATTTAATTAAATTTAACTTTGTTTTATTTTTATTTGTTTAATTTTTTTTACTTTTTTATCTTATTTTCTTCTTATTTTATAATTTAGCTCATTTTTTTAGTTTTATTTTTTTTTCCTGTTTCAGAATGTTGATGAAGATTATTTCCTTTATATGATTTAATTATTTTTATTTATTAAAATCTGTTTTTTTTTTAATTTTACTTTATGCTATTTTATTTGATTTTATTTTATTCCAATTCTTTTATTTCAAATTTGTTTTATTTTATTTTATTTGTACTTTATTATATTTTATTTTATTTTTTATTTCTTATTTCGTTTTATTTTATATAAATTTTTATTTACTTTTTTATTTTGTTCCGTTTCAATGTAGTTCAGTTAAATTTATTTAATTGTCTTATTTGTTATATTAATTTTTAATTTAACTTATGCGAGCTAAATAATATTTTATGATATTTCTTTTTAAACTTTTCCATTTTATTTTACAGCACTTTTGTTTTATATTTCTCAACTTACTTCACATCCACCCGCGTTAAATGCATCACGCGTGAACGACCACTACCGCATGGTTCGATCAAATAGCGCGAAGCTAACACGACGCCTCGAATAGCGCCAAACATCGGCTTAGCCTTGGAATCATCTATTGAGGTCTCTACAATGACACAGGCACCTCGCGGCAGGTTTGTAGTTTGCCAAGAGCTACACAAGATAAGAAAACAAAAAAAAAAATTAAATAATTCAATTCAAGTTTTTCTTTACCCTGTACTCTGTACACTCTCTCCTTACCGCAATACACAAAAATCTGTTGTGAATTGCCCGTCTATGGCGTATTGGAATATTTCAGTACTCTCATCCAGTTTCTTAACAGTTTGGCTTTCCAGTAAGTTCGAGTCCCACGAGGCGCGCTGTTTGATGATATAGTCTAGGACCTCCTTCGGTGGGCCTTCGACTTCGGTGGTGCAGCGCCATAACCGTAATGGATGACCATCGCCGACCTTCTTGTAAGCAATATCTACGTTACTATCGTTTTGTGAAGATATTGTGAACCAGCCACGTGTTCTACGGGGAAATAGAAAGCTTGTATTATTTCGTTCAAATTATATACCTCAGCTCTGTACACTCACTTCTCTCTGCCTTCTTTGATGGTCGCTTTGGTACATTCATACAGATAACCACGCCAGTTATGGAATTGCATGCCAAGTGCCTCCAAAGGTACTGGTTTTGACTCTTCCATATAACCGAAATTGCATTTGCTAATCTTCTCCTTGCTCGCCGTAAATATTTGCTTGTAGTTCTCAATCATGAACGAGAGGCACTCGTGTGATGCTTTCGCCTCTTGAAGCTCTTTATCGTCGGGCACACCAGCGCCTTTGCGTCGACGTGGCGAAGCTGAAACCGAGGCGGCACCAGTGGAAATGCTGCTGTGAAATAGAGACGGCGCCAGACAGACGGCCAAATTGTTGGCAGTCATTTGATTTTGCTCCGCATTGGCTGCGACTAGCGTCAAGAACTCAAGTAGTGCGTAGAGGATTTCACGATTTTCATCGGGTAGCAAGAGGACAGCGCTTTGTACCGCTTCCAAACGTACATCCTTTGGAAGGTCTGTGAAATAAAATAATCATAACAAAAAGTTTAAATAGTTTCCTTACCAGAAAATTTTCAAAAACTTACGCTGAAAGATCGCCGCAAACGTCTCGGACATCTTTGTCGTCAATAGTGACTCGGGCAGATCGCGGAAATACTGTTTCAACATATCGGCAACATCGTAGGCTTGCTGCGTATCGTATACTTCCATGCAGAGCGCTGTTGAATCTAGTTGCTCCACCTCCGACTTCAGTTTAATTATACGCGACTTGACGCCACTCTTACGGAAGAGACCGATCTGATCAAGTGCTCGCACTTGTAGCCAACGGAAGGCGGCACGAATCACAATAGGCATTGTCTGCCCGGTGCGCTGTAGTACCAAAAGCAGGGGCACACCGAATACTTTCTTGTCTTTGTAGTCGGGCATTTTGATTTTCTTAATGAATTTGGGTAGCTCCCAATTCCAGCCGGAACGATGTGTTGGGCAATAGCGCTCCATATAGCCTGTGAGTATGACCAATGCGAGCTTGCGCAGAATGTGTAGCTGACCTGCCGACATAGCGGCGAATGGAATGCCATTATCTTTTTGATGCGAGTCCACCTTTTGAGAGAAACACTTGCGGAAGATCATATGTGGGCGTTCTTCCATTTGAAAGCTATGCCATCGCACGACGGGCGCACTGCTGTGAGGGTTTAAAGTGTTAGTTTAAAGCATCACCTGAATTAAATATTCTAGTAAGCTTACCGTTTGACATTTTCTGTTTCTTCAGTTTTGGTTTCCTTGCGCGAAGTGGACCGCGAACGGAAACTCGCTGACCGGAAACCTTCCCTTTTTTTGGGATCTTTCCCAAGATTGAGTGAGCCGCCGCGCGTCAGCTTTTTGACTTTGATCTGTTGGAGATAAAATATGAAACATTTTCTATTCCTTTCTGAACATAGGAGTGCACCTACCTCAGTTGTATTCGAGTTTGCGTCCTTGATCAACAATTTTCTGCCATGATGACACTCCGAGTCGGAGTGCGCGCCTATATCATCAACTTTGCCCGTGCGTTGCAAGAATCTGCGCGTCTTTGATGGCTTGCGCAGTGTCAATTTGCCACCCGCTGATGACTCTTGGCTGTCACTGTAATATGAAGAGGAGTCATCTGACTTGCCCTCCTTCAAATGTGGCATCGGATTGGAGAAGAAATGCAATGGACTGGCACGCATCGAACGCGGGGTGGTTGGTGTACGTTTGGGACTAGCACGATTTGGACTAAGGAAGGTTTCACTTTGTGATGGTACTTTTAGTTCATTGCCGAACATCGGACCCTTCGGGAATGTATGCATCGGGCTGACTGCTGACGGTGAAGGTGGTGTGGAGTAAACGGCATCGGGCTTCCGCAAACTACCACGTTGACCAAGTTGTGACAAATCCAAGGCCTGTGGCCCACTTATAACAATACCTTCACGGTTTTGTCGCTTTCGTCGACGTGACTTGATCGACTCAACGCGGCGCAGGAATGCTTTGGCACCATCCTTGAAGCGCTCACTGCCTGTGCGACGTAAACGTACTGCAGACGAGTCGGCCGTATCGTTTAGGGTGGAGTCTGTGGAGTTACCGGGTAGTGTGAGCGAGAGTCCACCCCCACCGCCTTCACCACTTACGTCGTAATTATCATCTTCAAAACGATCCGGACTGGATTCCTTCGACGAGCTTTCCGTCTTCTCAATATTCAACTTACCAGCTGGTGGCAGCTCAAGACCCATTTCCCCGATGCGCGACCAACGACGTATATGAGGTTGGAATGTCCAATTCTCACTTAGTGCACAATTCTCATCATCGGAGTCCTCCTTCTGCTGAGATGAATCGTAGGTGAGTGAGTTGATGATTTGTTGTACTGTAAGGGATAATTTAGAGAGGGGAAGTTGACAAACCTGCGGCGTTTGAGCCTTATGTGATTGATCGAGCCGCATATTGGCACAGCGATTTAAAATGCACAAACGACGGTAGAGGGACTGCAATTGATCATTCTCTAGATTGGTGTGATCCTTGGCCACATTTGTCAGATCGAGGGGAAACTGGTGATCTGCGGTAAAAGAAATAAAAATAAATACAAATCAGCTTCTTTCTTAAACTTCTGAGTGCCACTTTAAGTAATTGACCCCTGAGTACTGCAAATATTCGTCAAAAATATTTCAAGCAACAAGTTTTACTAATCCGCCGAACATCTGCTGTCTTGCGCTTGTAAAATTTATTTGATTCCTTCACTGAGAAGCGTCTACATGCGATCTGAACTTCTAACAAAGTAAAGCACTCAAAACTACCCAAACGAAAGCATAGCTGCCTGCTGCCGCTGCAAGGGTAATACAAATTGGCTAACTCTCGCAGCGATCGTCTGCGTTGAATGAAAATTGAATAAAGAAAATTAAATAAAAAAACCTTAAATGTATGTCTTAGATCTATTATTGCCAATCGCCAAAATGCCTCTCTCCGCGGCAAAGTGTATGCGTCTGCTGAATCGGTATGGAGCAAAATCACAAATACGGATGCTCGTTACGAGCAACAAGCTGGCCGCCATTCCTCCATTCCCACAATCAACCAGTCTGTCGACTTTCGGCAGTTGTTACATTTTCCATGTAGGCAGGCGGGTCCTACGTGTCATCTAGGTGCTATTCGATACTGTTGATATTACGTCTGTCGTCAGTGCGGAATGTACAGAGAGGAGATGTGATGTGCTTGAAACAGCAGAAATAGCATACACAAACCTGTACTGATGATTTGAAGAAATATGTTTTCTCAATAAACAAGGAAAACTAGAGATGGAGATGTTAGAGGTATGTGTCAACCCAACGAGCATATGTAGAATATCTTCTGTGGTATACCTATCCCACCCAACAACGATGTATTGCTTGCGAGAATAGTGTTTTAACGCTAAATAATCGTCTTTAAGAGTATGTTGAGGAAAGTTTAGTCTAGGGAAATGTTGTGAACAGAATTTGATTTAAGGAATGAACTTCGCGCTTAGGGCTCCATATCAAGGATAACATATTCTGAAATCGGCCACACTAAAGTCGTAAAGACCTTATAGAAATCACTCTAGCCGTGAATGTAGAAAGTTACATCTCCGCTGCCGAACGGCTGATTGATTTTTATGTAGAATTTTTTTAATTCAAGACAATAAATGAAATATTTGATGCTGGTTTCGACAATGCCTGCCGGTTCCCGTTCATAGTTCTCACTGCAAACTACTCGGCTTCCACCACAGCGGGCAAGAGTATTACTTTTCCACTTCGTATTTGCAAGACACCGGGTATGTTGCCTGCAGCTCCCCTTTATTTAGTTAATTCTGTTACTTCTAGAGACATGTACGTACAAGTTTACAAATAAACTTCCACTAAACCGATTAAATACTGAGAGGAAGTGCCAACTGGTGGGAACTAGGAATTCGTTGTCGACGTCGTCACCGTCATCTAACGCGTACGCACCTCAGCAATGGTGCAAGGGCGTGTGTTGTAGCTGTGTCGTGGGCTTTGACGAACAGTCGCAATACATGTGTAAGTATTGCTGTGACGCGTTGAGGCGCCTCCGCATGTGGTACTGGTGTCAGACGATGCCAGCGGACGCGATTCGATCCCGTACATTTATTGCTGGCGTAAATTATTGGCAACAATTTGATTTGTGTTGTCGGCAATGTGAATGTTGTTTATACCGACATACATAAGTATATATATGCAAGAACAAATGTTCCTACATATGTATTTGAATTAAATATATCAAATCTGCCTCATGAATGACAAGCTGAGTAAGTGTGCAAGTGAATGGGTGAGTGTAATGAACTTGGGTAATTAGCTGTGGTCGGTATACATTCAATAATACGGTACCTACACTTCGTATATAACACACATATACTTGTATAAACAACCATAATTGCATTTAAGCATGAAAATATTTATAATCATTTATAGAAATCGATAGTGGGAAATGTTTTTTCTTATTTTTAATGAAAGGAAGTGATCTCAATGCAGCTGCTATTTTTAAAAACTTTTATGTATGCATGTAGTTAAGCATTTTCAAGAAAATTTAGGTGCTCAACAGTAAACGGGTCAAGAACTAGAATTTTCGAATTATAAAAATTTTAGCACTATCACGCTTAAAATTAAAAAGTAATAATTTAAAACTAGCCAAAGTTTATGAATGAAAATTCTGTGCTAATGAGAATGTCAAAATATAAAATTTTTGTTTTTATTGATTATTATTTTGACTGAATTTTGAAGATCTAAGAGTGGGGTTTTTTGTTTTTTAGATTAAATTTTTCGTATAATTTTAATTTAAGACTTCAGAAGGATATGTGAATCAGGTGCGAAATGAAGAACTATGATCCTGGCTATGTTTACTTTAATACTTGTTATGTATAGCCTATATAGTTTTATTAGTTATACACATACCATAGTACTCATACTATGATATTTATACAATAGCATTTTTGCTTTGATATTTCGGCTAAAACTGTTTCAGCGAAATTAATCTTCACTTATCTTAGTGTCGTACTAACATCCAAAAGTTATAGAAAATTAATTTAAATAAAAAAATTAGTTAATTTTCTAATTGCGGTCGCCTCTCAGCAGGGAGTGTATTTCTAAAGTGAAACAAGAACTCCCCATAAAAACTATCTGCTGTTCGGAGGCGGATTAGTATAAACTGTAGGTACCTCCGTTTTTTGAGCGAGCTCGGTCGAAAACCGCTTCAGCGGTTACAAAGCGCCAATTATATACGTATATACATATAATTCAAAGAATTAATTTAAAATTTTAACTGTGTTCGTTAAAAATTTTCAATTTTTAAAAGTTTCAACGAAACTTAAATTATTGAACTAAATTTTTTATGCAAGATTATTTTGATAATTTTAATAATTTCTCATCAAACTTAAATTATGATTTACTATAATTGGACTACGCAAGAAAAGGAGATTTGTTTAAAAAATAAAATTAGTTATGTTTTTTTCAGATTACAGGGCTGCTTTTGGCTCACTGTAGTACTCCCCATGTTAAGTCAGGATGTTTTGACTCAGTCCCTGCCAACCATTCTTTGTTGTTGCATAACAAAATAAAGGCCTTCAACCGTAATTCATTTACTTATAACAAAAATTAATAATACAGAACATTAAAAAAAATTATAATTATTCAACATTTTCTATTTTTTATATTCAGACATAAAAATATTTTGCAGCGACTTCATTTGCCATTCTCAAAGCGAGGTTGTTTTGAACTGCTTTGTACCTCTTCGAATTTGTTCAACGTTCATTCAATCTTGAGAACAGTCAAAAGGCATTAGAGCTAGAATAGAAAGTTCTGAGGAAATTGAATCAAATCAAGCGTGCTTCTCTGAGGACGGGGCTTTTTTTCAACATTACAACCACACATCCTGATACATTACATTGGTCCAAGACAAGCGGCGTTACTCACATCCACTGCTACTGTCAAAATTACTCTGTTTTTGACAACAGAAAAAATTTTCTGAACATATGATCGAAACGAGTTCTCGTATACAGCCATTACAAAAAACCAAAAAAAAAAAAACAAAAAATCGGTAATAGAATTTACGCTTCATGAGCTGCGAGAATTCAACTTATTTTTTTTTAACGCAACTCGTAGTTTACTCAAGCGTGCTCTGCTTAAACTCTGCTGTTCAATAACCAACAATGCTCTTTGGTGTACAGAACAATGCAGCTTTTGTAAAATAGTTTAATCAATACAACTAGAAAATAATTATTAATTTTTTTACTTATTTTTTCTTTATAAAATATTCGATATTTTAGAGTGGAAAGTTTTATTCAATTATTTTAAATATTATTTAGTCCATCAACTTCTATTGAAACACTTATTCATCCCATCACAATTTTCACAAACACTTAAAGCCAAAGAAAAATTAACTCCAATCATAGTGGACAACTAAAAATTTCTTTTTCGTTAACAACAAATGATAAAGAAGTGAAAATTAATTTGCTTATCACAGCATTCAAGGTGCGTTGAGTCGAATCGCGCGTGCGTATGCCACGCCAAAGCAATAACAACAATGCAATGCGCTTAGGTTGTATTTAACCAGTTAGCCGCTGGGCAGACATTTCCACTTATTTATTAAAACAAATGGTTGCACATCAGTGGCATGATTAAACCAATTTGCAAACGTGTTGCAATGCAGCGGTTGAGCGGGTTGCGGTTAAAACAACGATGTGGGTAAATAATGACCGTGAAATTGAGAGTTATTTAAGAGGTGCGGAGAGCATTGAAACTGAAGTTTATTTCTGCAGCGCAAACTGAATAGAATTACAAAAGAAATGTGCAAAATGTAAAGGAGAAGTGAAAAGAAATTAAGCAAGACGCAAGCAGACACCATATGTTTGATTGCGCACAGGAGCGCAGATATAAAAGCAAGTGATATGAATTGAAGGCAGTGTAAGTGAAGTAATATGTTTGAAGGAGTTGGGTAAAAACGAGAATTTATTTAAAAACTACATTAATCATCTTGAGTATAGGGCGAGATTTTTGAGAAAAAAAATACATTAATTAAACGAACATTAAGGGAGCCAAGCTGAAAACAGTCAAAAATTAAAAAAAAAACAAATAACCTTATGCCAAAAAACTAAATAAAATAATAAAAGATATTCTCATGGTGTGCTTATTCTATCTTTGCAGCTCCATCAAGGCGCGGATGAATTTGCTTCAAGGTAAAAAAAATACGAAACTATAAATAAAAAAGGTGCATGAGGAAATTTATGATAATACGCAAAACTTTTCAAGGTCAGACATATGTATTTAGTTACAAACAAACATACGTTTCTGTGAGTACAAAATGAAAAAGAACCCGATCGCATGCCAAATATTATAGCCAAATGCAACATGTTGCCGTGCGTGCCGCATTTAGCAATGAAACTTTTCATTTCGATTGCATTTTTGAGCGAAAAAAAAAATTAAAATAAAAATTCAAAAAATCACAAATAAATTTAAATAAGAGCAGGTTCAGCAGGTCGTTTGCAACACCAAGCGCATCGCATAGCAAATGGCTTAAGGGGCGACTGCGTTCTGGTAG